AAGGCTGAGTAAATAGCTTTCAGTAAAACAAGGAAAAACATGTGCTTCCTTGAAGAATGATACATTTATTCCATCAGCAAACACTTTCAAATGCTAAAAATGAGAAAATAAGATCCAAGAAAAGACAGTGCGTTAGTTAGAGCATATGCGACTTTCCTTTGGTTTGTATTGGGTTGGCTGCTTTGTTTTTCGACAATGGATAGATTAAAATTACTTTTCTAATATCTACAACCACATTTGCTTTTGTAGTATCCAGGTTTTTATTTATCACTAAATCTAAGAGTTCTAGCTTCATAGTAAGATCATGATGCTAAAATAAAGCAGGCGCACCTAAACTGTGAAATCTTTTAAAACCCAAAAGGTAAAAAATCTATTGAGGTCATCATAAAGAAAAGAAAATGTCACTTTCACATGGAAAGAGAAATCAGTGAATAGTATAGCTTCTGATGCCAACTCTGACTTCAAGTCATTTTAACATAACATATATAGGCATTTTCACTATATGTATAGAGAGGGCACTATATAAAATAAACTTATTACTATATCATGTATACTTAATAAAGTACATTTTTAGTACTCTTCTGTGTGTATAATGCTGGCTTCTGTTATACTAAAAAGCATATTCCACCTTAACACTTGTTTATTTTAAAAGTAACCTTGGCTGCATAAAATGCGGAAAATGTGCTAATTCCCTCGTGTCCACATAGAGGTCCACATAGTGTCACCTGAGAGGTTTTCAGAGCTTCATGGGTGCAGGCCCCTCCCCAGACCTCTGAAATCAAGAGTCTTCCTTTCACAGTCTCCTGGGAGGATCTGTGTGCATGTTACCGTTGAGAAGCCTTGGCCTAAGATAGAAATCACCTTCGATCCTCTACCCAGAGACAACCACTATCAATATTTTGCTGTATTTCTAGTAGCCTTTCTTTTCCATTCTTATCTTTCAGTTTAAGTCTTGAAATTCTAATTTTGTCAATTTTCTGACTCATTCCATGAAATATTTTTAGAAATGACACCAACAGAGTGCTAATCAGGATTTGAAAATAATCAATTTTAGCCCTATTAAGGAATATTTATTTTATACAGCCATTGTAATTAATTGGAGATTCACCTCCATTTAAATTCAAGAAATCTATTCTGTATCTGAAGTTACTAATAATAATTGTTTAAAATCTACTGCATGAGTCCTATTTCTTTCAGACTATAGCACTGATATTTATTTCTTTCTATTCATTGTCACTTCCTTTTTTTTCCTACATTCTCAATTTAATTTGAAAGTAAATTTTCCTGAAAAAAAGTTTAATAACTACCATGTACTAGGATGTTCTATTTTCCAAGAATACTATTAACTGTTTTACATTTCTTATTAAATCATCACATTAACCCAATGACATAAGGATGCCATCTTGCCATCTTATTAAGAAATTGTGAAATAAAAAGCTTAAGTAACTTTCCTGATACCATGTAGCTCAAAAGCATTGAAAGTTTATGGTTCAAATAATAATAATCAATGCTACCTTGTTTTTTTTTTATAAAAAAAGTTCTTTCTTCTAAATAGCATTTCGCTTGTGATAATGTGAATATTTTCCCTTCTACATTGGCAAATTTATAGAATTCCATTTATTCAGCTTACTGCTATAAATTTGCATGTGAAATATCTACACCTCTTTGAATATATAGTAATAATGGCAGAGGAGAAATAGCAGGCACTCTTTTGAGGCCATAGAGAAATTTACATTCAGCAAAAGCAACCCTATAAGATTCCACAGAAATATGAATGTAGACACTATTACACTGAAGTGGGTACAGAAAAAGACACTGACCTGGGCTACAGGTGTAGCTCAGTACTACTGTACATAATTAGCATACTGGAGGTCCTGAGGTCAATCTCTAACACAAACACACACACACACACACACACACACACACACACACACAATTAATCTAACACTGGAAGACAACTCTTTAAATGAAAACTGTAACACCAAAATAAAAAAGAACAGGTTGTAAACACAGGATTATAGTTAGCAAAGGTGTTTCCCACAGTAGAGTGGGTTAATAATTCTGAAACTGCTGCACCATTAGACTGGGATTGAGAGTAAATAAATGGCAGATGGTGAGTTCCAGCATTTGTACTATGTTTATTTATGTTCTTATCACTGAGACAAAATACCCAACACCCACAAGTTAAGGGAGAAAAGGTTTATTTAGCTCACAGTTTGTAGAGGTTTCAGCTATAAAGGACTGGCTCTAAGGTGGGGTGGCATGGGAGACATGCATCGTAGAGGAGAAACAGTTCATGGTGGGCAGAAGGTAGCAAAGCAAGCAAGAGAGAAAACAAGACTCTTTCTGTCCCTTATATTGTATCCAGGTTACCAGGATTAGGGTGGTGCCAAACTAATCAGTAGACTGATTTAATAATCATCTACCCTTGATCCTAGCACCTTTAATCCTAGCATTGCACCATGAATTAGTCACACACTCTAGATACAGGCACTTCTGAAAAAACCCCACCTAAGACCATGTGAGGCGTCTAGACACAAGCTATAATATACTGTTAGTGAAGGAGTTTACAGACATAAGTAAGGGGGAAAGCTAGAATGAACCCTATGATACTGGATTAGATTCAGAAACATCAGTATAAATTCACACTCCACTTAATACAGATACAGATGGACAGATATAATTCTAGATGTGTGCATACATGCGTTAGTATACAAGCATATATTTCTTAGCTCCGTTCACTGGAAGCAATAACACTCCACAGTTATAAGTTTACCCAGAATCCAGATATTCATTTCTAATACCATTCTCCAGTAAGGGAACCAGGTCTCCTTGGAGAAATGGCTGATTTGGGGACAGAAGCAGGGAAAATACAAGATGAACCTAGAGCATTTTGTAGTGATTAACAGTAAAGAAGTGCTCAAAAAATTTTAAAAAGTAGGATTATCAAAGGTACATAGCAGCTAACCTAAAAGAACTCTCAGTGACAAAAGCTGAAATCATTTGAGCAACAAAACAAATATACAGCCAAATTATAGCCTGAAGTATTTTTAAAAATTTCCACAAGTCCATCCACATTGCTATGTGATTGAATAAATTAATAAATGTGGAACAGTGAGCAAACACTTTATGACACAGGAAGCAGTATTTGACCTCTGGGTATGTCTTGCTTCCAAGGGCAAGGGAGGAGAGTGTCATTTGCAGTGTAAAAAAGCAGCAAACACTGCATTCCCCAAGTGAATATGGTTAACATCATCACTAAAACAATCATATTTGTGCTATGTGCAATGGATATGATTCGATCAAATTGCTACTTCACTCTCTCTCTCTGGAACCTATAATCTCAGTTTAACCAAGAGGAAAACATCAGACAAATCCAACTGGGGAACATTCTGCAAAATACCTGATCACTGAGAAATTATCATGGACCAGCGGAGGTGGAGGAGACATGACAAATAAATGTAACTAGTTGTCCTGAGGGAACCACAGAGCCCTAGGAAAAAACAAATAAAATCCTAACAAATGCGGAGTTTCATTAATAGTAATGCAGGAACCCTAGGAAAAAGTGAATGAAAGTTCAGCATATAATTTATTCTCTGTCTTTTCTTTGTCACTTGTCTGTTAACCTCAAATTATTGTAAAGCAAAAAGTTTATTTAAAATAAAAGGGTACAGACCAAAAACACTAGTCCAAGAATATTTAGGAGAAAAAACAAAATGAAACCTTTGACTTCCACCATGAATAGTTTGAGAACCACTGATCTGTAATATATAAGCTGGAGGACAATTTAAAGTCTCCTTTTGTACTAACTGAGATGGTTTTTAAGTTCTTGCTCACTGTTCAAAGGTATTTTTCTCTTAAACTCCTGGAATTCACAACACTTTGTTCTCTGTTCTTTTATCCACCCCCATCATATTTTGCTGCAAACCTTGTCATTGCCAATGCACTGCTGGCTGGTTTGTAAGTGGCTTGCTAGTTCTCTGTTCCTTGCGTTCCGGTGTTATTTAGGTTCATTAAAGGGAACAGTTTGTCACTAAGACCCAGGTACAAACACATCATTACCAAATCACCCAGAATTCAGTGAAGATAATATACAGAAGCGTGGTCACAGCAAGCATTACAGTTAGATGTTTAATGAGAACATCACTTTTAGTCAAAAGTTAAACTGCACAAGTAATATCCAAAATGTTCCTTATTCGGTTTTAGAAAGTGTCTTCCTGTTTGATAAAGTCCCATGGGTGAATTATTACAGATCTTCTACAAACATAAAACAATGGATACCCATTTCTAGTTGTATTAATACTCAAGTGACAATATTTATGGTTTTGCAAATCATCTGAATAATGAATGTATAAATAGCGAATCTGTTTTTATAACCACTTTATGTATACTGTTAAAATCTAACTCATCAGCTCATTATTGGATGGGTAGAGTGTTTTTAGGTAGAAGAAGGGTAGGGAAAGGATTTGTCTTTAGTAAATAAGATAATCAAAGCCTAGGTAGATTTTTGATGTCTCATTGATCTTTCTATTGAGATAAGTAAGGACAAATTTGCAAGCTAAAATTACTGCTTAATATTTGATTTATTTTGCCAGGCACAGCGGAGCACTCTAGGAGGCTGAGGCCGGAGGATTGCCTGTTTGAGTATGGCCTGAACAACTGAACAAGATCCAGAACTCAAATTGAAAAGTAGGGGGGGGTGCTAGGGATGTAGCTGTGTGAAGGCCTCAGATTTATTCCCCGGGGCCACCAAATTTTTTTTTATTTAATTTGCCCAATGAAATCAATCAAACATTTTTTCTTTACCGTATTTATAAATACGCATATATCTTACGTAGGCCGCCTGTACCACACACACAGTAGACACACACACGAGTCTCCAGGTTCCCGGGGCCTCCTTCCTGCCATGCTCCGCACTGGTTAGGCTGGGAGCAGAAACCTTCCAGCGCCTTGAAACCCGACGGGCCTTCGCTAACCTCTGTTCCCTTGCCTCTCCGCAGACAATCGTGCGAGGGCACAAGCCCTGCCAGGAGAGCTCCATCAACGGGCTGCTGGAGGACCTGGACAGCATCTCGGTGACACGCTCCAACTCTCTGCGCCAGGAGAGCCCTCCGACACCGGGGCCGGGGCCGGGCCGCGCCGCCGAGAATGGCTTCCCCAGCTGCTCGCGCTACTCCAGCGAGTCGGACCCCGCGGACGGCGCGGCGCTCTACGCCGATGAGCTGGACGCCTTCCCCCGCGGCAGCCCCGCCGCCCGGCAGAACGGGCACGTGCCGGGGTCG